GGTCTACAAGAGCTAGTTCCAGGACAGGAACCAAAAGCTACAGAGAAACCCTGTCTCGAAAAACCAAAAAAAAAAAAGAAAGAAAGAAAATACACATTTCCTTAATCCATTCATCTGTTGATGTTCAAGTCAATTAGGTGTCTTTTAAGTGGCTTTGCTTATAAACATACAAATATTAACAACAGCTAATTAAGCATTGAAAATTATGATGCGTGCTGGCTAGTTTTATGTCAACTTGACACAGGCTACAGTCATTTGAGAGGAAAAGAAAAACAAGTTGGGAAAGAATACAAATGGCTAATAATGTCCTAAAATGTTCACCCTTTATCGAAACACAAGTTAAAGCAACATACCATTTTTTACCTATCCAATGGAGAAATCAAAAAGTTTAGTGATATTTAGGGCTGTTCACAGTGCACTGTCCATGTGCACCTAAAGACATCAAACTTTTGAGACTCAAAATGTGGATCTATTCTCAAAAGTTGTTAAAATACAAACACGATCACCCTAATATTGTTTAATGCAAAAATAAACTAGAAATAAAAGGCTTATCATAAATAATTCATTATATCACACACCATTTCAGAGTAACTAATTTCAAAATATAGCATGTTTAGATAAATTAAGGAACTAAGAGCAAGTGCAGAGTGTTTAAAGAACTTTTAAGTGGAGAAAATGGACGAGTAAGTGAATTTCCAAAGTTTTTCTGGGATTAACTATACACACCACTTTAGAATGCTTAACTTTGCTCACAGCTCAGAGGCTGGGATGAGAGGTCTTCAACTTTTTGTCCCAACTGCTGCATTTTCAAATCTGTGTCTGAAGTAATCTGACTTTGACGCCCCCATCCCCGTGTGTGTGTGTGAAGGCCAGGAGTTGATGGTGTCTTCCTTGATCATTGTCCACCTATTCACTAAAGCAGGGTCTTAAACCCAGAATTTGCTGATTCAGCTCATCTAGCTAGCCAGCTTTTCTAGAGATCCTCTTTCTGCATCCTGGGGGCCGAAGAGTTCAACCCCAGTCCTCAGGCTTGGACAAGAAGTACTTTATCTGCTGGGCCATCTCCCTAAGCACCTCATTTTACTTCTTAAGATTACTAGGATAGTAGGATTATGGCCTAATTTTTGTTTTCTGTATTTTTGAAAGATTCTGTTGATATTTCATCTGAGAAAAAAGACAAAGTATAACAGAAAGATAAATATTTAAACTGCATTAAATTTCACTGATAGCACCTTTATTTCCCAAAAGCTGATGAAAGCTTTTTCACAGGCAAGTGATAAAATGTAAGAAAAATACCCTGCTAGTTTAAAAATGTTTTAAAAAGTAAACACGTTGACATAAAGCAATAAATGGAAGGTGACAGACTCTAGACCACTTTAAAATTGGCCTCTTTCTCTCTTTTTAGAAAAGTGGAAAAAGATTCCAGTAAATCTTGCAATTTCAAAAGATTAGATTTGATATATCTCTTTTGACTCAAGAGATCCAATCCTTCACATGGTGAGCTCCTGTTGCTCGCCAAGCCTATTAGAGTGTCAAAGGCAGATGTAATTAGAATGGGGGTTGGAGAGAAACCACAGAGAAAGGAAGTTAGAGACCAAATGTATAGTGTTTCACAGCCAGAGAAACTGAAGTACACATCAACCAGAGAGTGTACATATTAGAGTTGTTGGAGAATCTACAGGCTACTCACTAGCACTCCACTGAAGGAACCTTGGATCCTCAAAGGCTATGGTAGAGTCTATCTCTAAATAGCCTCAAGGGACCATTATCATCCTGCCCAATCTTTAATTTTTATATACACAGCAGCAACACATCTCCTTAGTCATCTGAGATTGTTTAGAAGTGAAGGCCAAGAATATATGAAGTGGTTAATCAAGGAATTCTGAAAGCTCTTCAGAGCCTGTGAAAGTGAGTTCAAATCTCACTCCTACTACCCGCTCAAGAACTTCAAGATCTTGGGCGAATTACTTATTTTTACCTCTAAATGTCTAAAACTACACTCATGGGTTGTAATATCTACATACTACACCACAAAGTTCAAATATAGAAAATGTTAAGAACACATTCTTTTTTCAAAGTGTTTAAGCAATTACGAATAGACATTTCAGTAACTTAGTTATCCATTTCTTACTAAAGCTAACATACACCATTACCTTTTGCTGGATGATCACAACTACAAACATAGTAAGTTTATGATTATAAAAAAATGTTCCACAAGCTACCAAATAATCATCTTACAGACAAATACTGTACGAGACAGTCTGATGAGAATTTAAATTTACCAGATACTTGTCTTTATGCTAATTATTTCTAAACTGTTGCGTGTAATAAAAAAGCGCTCTCTGTCTTCATGCAGTCAGGACTAAGTTCTTCTACGAAGCCTCTTATTTTCTTAATGGGTTGACTCTAAGCCTTAGTAAGCTAAGAAAATGGAAAAAAAAACCAACCACAACTACTTCAAAGCAGACAGACACAGCTTTGAAAAAAGTATATTCTTTAGATATAGACAGCTTTTGGTTTAAATCCAAAGTTGGGTTAGTCTGCAACCTTGTCAGAAGAACTTCTCCAAAACTTACTTTTCCCATTCTTAAAATGGGAATATAGAAACAGGATGGTAGGCCAGGCAGTGGTGGCACACACCTTTAATCCCAGCACTTGGGAAGCAGGAGCAGGAGGCTCTCTGTGAGTTCAAGGCCAACCTGGTCTATAAGAGCTAGTTCCAGGATAGGCTCCAAAGATCCAGAGAAACCCTGTCTCAGAAGAAAGGAAGGAAGGAAGGAAGGAAGGAAGGGGTAAAAAATACATTAAAAAATGAGCAAAAACTCTGAGAGCTTTCTAGCACTGTGCAACATAAACTACCCAGTGATGGTAACCACTACCAACATAAACTACCCAGTGATGGTAACCACTACCACATAGCTAGTGAAGTTTATTAGAGCCATAGCTAAGGAAGAATTTCCTACTAGGAAGATAAACTTTTAATGTGTGAAACTCCTTAGGGTTACACTGGAGATGCGAAGATGAAAAAGAACATAGCATCTACTGTCCAGAGGCTCATGGCCTAATGCAGGACAAACACAAAGCAACGTCACAGTGACCTGCAAATGAAACAACATTAAGAAGCTGAGTCCTCTTTCAAGTTGAATTTTTTTTTTTTTTCTGGAAGTGGTGATACTGAGGCTAGGAGGACAAATACGAAGTTAGCTTGGAGGCTGACTTGTGAAGCTGACTTGGCTGAACAGGGATGTAAGTGCACATGGACAAATCTACTGCAAGAAATACACATCAGGGTCTGGAGCAGAGCCTCCAGACAGACGAGGAAAACAGGCCCTCAACACATCACAATGGTCCAGTAAACCAAAAGACAGGGGAGCTGCAAGTAAAGCAGAGGCTAAGATGCAGAATCCACCATCAAGTTAGAGAAGGAAGGTCACTGAGAAAAATAACATGCTTAAATAAATGCAGATCCCTTCAGCTATCTATCTAAGATGACCAGGATGGGGTTGGGCAAACTAAGTCAAGAAGACAGTGTGGGCTGGAGAACTGCAGCAGCGAACCTGAAGTGGCGCTGAGACTGGAAAGTGACAACCCTCAGCTCTTCAGGAGAATTCCCCAGTTTCCACCTGGGCTGAATGGTTTGGTCAGGAAGTTAACATGGAGAGGATAGAAACAATTTCAAGCATGTTATTTTGTAACCAAGTTCAGTTAGTCTTATTAATATTTTGTATTTCAAATCACTTAAGTTTGAGCAGGCCAGGAAGAACCAACTCATTTAGAGAGAGCAGTGTGGTGATCCACTACTGGCTATGTTTTCTTTCACCCAGCATTGAAAGAGGTGGCGATTCAGGTTTCAGTCTACTGCTAAGGCGGTTCAGAAGGCAGCCTGTCTTAAACATCCACTATACCAACTAAGCAGATCAAATACATGGGAAAAGCCTAAACTGTAATGACATTAAGGGGAGAAAAGACTATCAGCCTTGTATAATCATGTTTGTGTTTTGAAACCAAAACACAAACAACACCCACCTACCCACCCAATAAACCCGCTTCTGCTTGCTTTTCTACCACAGTCCCAAGAAGCAGGATGCCACGGCTCACACCTTTGAAGAATTGAAATCCTGACCACAGGCTCACATTTTTGGAAGACGACCAAGACGCTCAAAGCTGTCATAAACTTATACTTCCAGAAAATCATTTTAAAAACTACTAAGTTCTCCTTAATATTAAAAAAAGGTTCAGTTTTTAAGATCCAAAGGCAGGTTAGCTTAGAACTTTTCAAGTCCCTCACAAAGTGAACTTGTTTCTATTAATTTGGGTTTCGCTCTGAATTTGGCTTTCTTAATCATATTTTCTTACCCGCAAATACAGCATGAGTAGACCGCAGTACCATTAACTACAAGCACACGGGCTCCAGATGAAATCAATGGTGTACCCAAAGTTAAAATGCCTTTGAAAAACTCCTCAGATTTCTTAACCACTACAGATGCCAAATGACAACCTTATCACTTGAAGAGAATAAACACACACACACACACACACACACACACACACACACACTGTGTATTGGAGGGGAGGAAAAAGGCCACACCCAAAGTTAGGACTTCACAGTGAAGTGACACCAAGTTTCAGAAATTCAACTCTGGCTATTTTGAGCACTTCATTTCACGGTTAACGAACGTCTCCGGCTTCTTTCTATCCCCACCAGGCTCTACGTTCAAGAAATCGTTCCGGATTCTAACTGCTAAGGTTACATCTTAGTAACCCGCAAGTCCAAGATGGAGAACTGTCTCATTCAAAGGAAAGATTGCAGTAACGGGTCTCTTAATGATCGAGAGAGGCTACCAAGGCGCCAGGTACCCGAGGGGGCCAGCAAGGCCACGGGCCGCCGTAGCGACGCGGCGGTTACCTGGCACCGAACGGCAGCGTCTCCCCCGCCTGTCTGGCTGCCGGCGCGCGCTCCGGGCTTCCCGGCCCCGCCACCTCCGCGCATCCCCGCTCACCTTGGCCACATAGTCCTTCACCTCGTCCAAGTCTCCGTTCTTCAGGGCCCACATGAACTCCTTGTCGCACATCACTGCAGCGGGCTGGGCCGGCAGGCCGGGCACAAGTGGCGGGTACGCCCAACAAGGGGACACGAGGAAACGACGCGCCTCGGGCCGCCGCGTGGGCGAGGCTGTGGGCCGCGACGACCGTTGGGGCGGGAGAAAGTTCTTTTGCAGCCGCTGGGCCCAGCCGAACAGGTTCCGCCTGGCTGGGGGAGAAGCAGGACGTTTGCACTTCCGGTTCACGCCCCGCTAGGACCCGCCTCCAACTTCCTCTTCCTCTTCCTCTCTCCGGAACGCCCCGCTCCGGACCCCGCCCCGGCTGCCTACCTCCGAGGGCCACTTGTGCGCAGGCTCAGTGTCCCGGCTTGCCAACGCGGAGAAGGGGAGGGGCGTGGTCCAGTGGGCGGGGCCTGGAGGCTGAGTGACAGAGATCCTGGAAGTTCCGAAAGTAAGGGAGCAAACCTGGGAGAGTTATGAAGTTATGGGTGAGATTAGGATGCTCCCAGTCCACTACAGAAGGGAAAATGTTAGTTTTAGAGGGCTCACTTTCTAATAACGCCAAGAAGTGTTTACTTTAGGTCGTCTCCGTCTCTCTCCCACTTTAAATCATTAACAAAGCAAAACAAACAGAACAACCCACTCTCAAAAAATTTTTTGAGAATCTCATCTATACGCACAATGTGTTTTGATCAAATCTACCCCAGATTCTGTCCTTTCTCTCTCCATCCCCACCACCACTTTTCCTCCCAATTTTATGTTTCCTCTCCTAAAAATACAAAAACAAACCCCCAAATAACCCCACCCCCCAAACAAACAAACACTTTATTTTTATTTATGTGTATGAATGTTTTGCCTCAATGTATGTACTTATGTGCACTACATGTGGGCAGGTGTCTGAGGAGACAAGGAGAGGTATCAGATCTCAGGGAACTAAAGCCACAGTGTGAGCCTGCATCTAGACCTTGTGGAAACCAAACCTGGGTCCTCTGCAAGGGCAGTAAGTGCTCTTAGCCTCTGAGTCATCTCTCCAACACTTCTTTTCATTTTGAGCCTACCGAGGCCACTTAGTGTTTCCTGTGTGTGTGTGTGTGTGTGCTGTGTGTGCATGCATGTAGGACCTGCTGTGCTTCCCCTTGAGGCCTCATACTGGATTTCTATTCTTAGAAATCTTTGTTTGGGTAGGGCTCTATCCTCCTTTCTCTCCTGCATTCCCATGACCACTCCTGGCTTTTCTCCTTCCTTTCCTCAACTATGCAGTACTGTTTGGGACTCGAGAACCCACCACCCACCAGAAGGAAATTAGAAATGAAAGAATAAAGCAAGTTTTGCCCAGAAGGAAATCTTCAACACACAGTTGAGACGACGATGCCAGTTTGTTTCTTTTTAAATTGTATACTTCGGTGCGTAAAGTACAGATCTATGTATGTGGGCGTGGGTGTGCTACTGTAGCCACGTGGGAGTCAGAGGACAAGGTGTGGAAAGAGTTCATCCCTCCTAGTGTGTGGGTCCTGAGGACTGACCTTAGGTCACCATCAGACTTCGTTGCATGGATCTCTACTGTTTGAGGCGTCCTGCCATCACAACAATGTGAATTTAGCGCATTGGTACTAAGCATTGTGTTCCGTGTGGGGATTAAAACTCAGTGTGTGATTTCCTAGCTAACAAGTGACATCTAACCAACATGTTCAGTATAATTCGTGTTAAAAATGTGTGTGGTTTAAAAACCACTTATTTTTTTAATTGATTTGTAACTACGGAACCATTTTTTTTCCCCTGAAGTTAGTTGTATTCTTAGGATTGGACTGAAATATCTTACAATACAATCACCTAGTGGTTACTATTTTATAATCTTAATGAGTCAAACATGTGTATATACCCAGGAACACTGAGAAAAAAAAATCTTACTGAAACTATTATGCATATAGAATATTATTATCCAGTAAATAATTAAACCAAACTAGTTTACTTCTGTTCTACAAAGTCCAGAGGTTGAAAGCCCAGAGTAGAAGGATAGCCATAGGATTTTAAGTACATGATGCACTCTGATAGATTTTGTGTCCTCTCCAAGTTATTTAACCCACTTTGCTTCAAAATTCACAGCAAAACACTGCTGTTTGGTGAGTACGTGTGCATTTGCTATCGTTTAGTAACAATTGAGAAAAGACTTCTCATCATAAAGAAAACTTGTGAATTGTTAACAGCTGCTTACAGTCTTGTTCATTCTAACTCTGATGGCTGAGAATATGAATCTATATGACCAAAAACAACTTTGGTTAAAAAAAATGATGAAGCAATTTTGATTCCTCAGAAACTTTCCTGAGAGATCTCTAAGTTACAGATCAGGGCAGCTCTTGGTTCGGCACGAGACTTCTGTGTGGTCTACTTTTACATTCAGCGTTTCACTCGATTGTCCCAAGCTTGGCATGTTTAAAATAGATCTTGTGACATAGGTTCTGAACTTCAATAACTCTCTAGTCTTCCTGTTCTATAAATCCTACCGATTACCTGGTCACTAAAACCAGAAACATGAAAGTCACGATAGCTCTGGCTAGTCCCAACTTTCCCCTACCCCAACCTGTGAAGCCCCCAAAAATACTTTGAAATTGGTTGACTTCTTGTAGATTTCAGTACTGACCCCAACTTTTGCCCAAGCTGTTATCGCTGTATGCAAAAGAGTTCGCTATAGCAGATCTCAGTTTTGCTTTCACCCTGTTGCAGGCCATTCGTTTTCATTCAGAGTCACCGTTTTAAGCCCAAGGAAAGCATTCCTTGTTGTAAGTGCTGAGCAGCTTCCTACTGTACGTCTTATGTGCTCTGCCCCTCAGATCAGGGCCTTCTGTGATCTCCCCTGGATAGTTCAATCCCATGACAGCCCCCTCCCCACCACCATTGCTGCTTGAGTTTCCATGGATCTCGCCTTCTGTCATTTTCAGAAAAAGCCAGGCACACTCCAGCCCGTGGCATTCATGTGTGTTGTTTCCTGTCTAATTCTTACCGCCTCTTTTCAATCATTGGGATTTGCTTGCAGATGTTACCTTGAAGTGAGATTTCTAAAACTACTTACTTCAGTCATAGAGCCCCCCTCTTTTTCCAATTCACAATGATTATTCTAAAGACTTTCATTATTTTTTTTTACTTATCTATTTTGGAAGATCTTTATGGTATTCAATAAATGCTTCCTTTTGTATGTCAATACCATTCTGGGTGCAAGAGACAACTCCTCTTCCTGCATTCTTTGTAGTTGAGTAATGTCATGTAGCTAATTTTGGACTATTACTATGAGTACACGCAAAAAAGGCCAACTTTAGGCTGGCTGGTTCAAGACTGTTTAGCACCCAGTTTTCCCTTCTGCTGTGGCAATAGACAACATTCAGGGCAGTGACTACATAGGCAGCCAGGGGTCCTGAAGGAACATAACCACAGAGTTTGTCCCATCCTATGATGAATATGTAATACGAATGAAATAATTCTTTGGTTTAAACCAATGAGACTTGGACTTGATTCCTGGAACAGCACTGAGACAATCTTGATGAATACAGAACCAATTTCCAGTTTGAAGAAGTGGCTGGACCAAAACCAGGGAATAAATGACTCTGTCTTAAGGACCAGTTAGTACACAGAAACGGAAGTGATAGAAGTCATGAAGATGGTGACTCATAGTCGCAGAAGCAAAAGGTTGGGAAAGACTATTATGGGAACATGGCACATCTTGGGAGCAGATAATGTAACCCATAAACTTGTAGCTGTAGTGGAGGAGGCTGGATCTGGAGGCTCAGTTCTCTGTGCTGGAAATAGTGATTACCTAAAACAGTACAGAAAACATTCAATATAAAAATAATTGTCCACTTTGCAAATAAAAATGCAAGGAAGCCCAAGAGATGCCTCAGAAGTTAAGGGTGTGTGCTGCTCTTGGAGAAGGGAGTTCAGGTCCCAGCATCCAAGTTTGGGCAGCTTGTAAGCAACTGCCTGTAACTTCAGTGATCTTGTGTCTTCTGTTCTTCATTGTCGCCGGCCCTCATGCATACGTTCCCACACACAGATACAGGTACATACACATAGTTAAAAATAGAATATTTGAAAAACAAAGTTTATTATAGGGAGTCAAAAATGTGGAAATATGAACAACTAGAAGAAACAAGTGATTTTCACTTTTAGTTATTAAAAATAAGCAAAAATGAAAGGAGATAGTGAGAAGAGACTGGAGGGGAGAGAGAGTGAGGAGAGAGAGAGAGAGAGAGAGAGAGAGAGAGAGAGAGAGCGCAACAAGGGCTGGTTAGAATGTAGACTTGAGGACAGGATCACATTCTAGACTAAAGTAGTATTTCAGTGAAACTTTTCAGTAGTACACAATAGCACATGTATTGCTAGTCTATAGGCTGGAAGAAACAAGAAAGAAATAAGCAAAAAACGACAATGGCTGGTACACATAGAGCTTACTCGGATCAACTGTAGAAATAGCTGACTGAAGTTCTGAGACTGAGGCCAAAATACCTATCGGGCACATTTATAGGAAACCGTGGATAGTCTTGAAATGAGCCAGGGCCTCTTCCTCTGTCTACAGAAAGTAGTTTGAGAAAGTTGCTGCTTAAACTCCAGTACTTACTCAAGATGACAGGTGAGAGCATGAAAGAACCCTTCAGGACGGTATAAGTAAGAACTGCCCAAGCCATGAACTGGAGGAGGAAGATGCTATAGATTGGAACTGGGACCTAATCAAAAGCCATCCCTTCCCCCAAGGGGGCTCCTTGCAACGGCTGTGCAAGGTTGCAAAACAGCCATAGACTATGATCGGTGTCTCTTTCCCATTCTTCCTCTTTCTGAATGGGAGTGGCTATTGTGGTTATCATGTTCCCACAGACATCTGCATACTAGGTTCAAGGGAAGGATTCTCTGCTGCTCAGTTCCTATGTCTCCAGGTCAACAAGAGGCATAAAATCCCTCCCGTGAGCCCCTGGATGTTGAGCTCGATACTCCACTGCCCTGTATGGTTTGTTTGTTTTGTTTTTGTTGTTCTGAGGATTTGAATCTAGGGCCTTTCACGTGCTAGGAAAGCCCTCTATCACTGAGCTATGTTACCCAGCAAGCTTGATGTTCTAATAGCATAAAACTTCTGGGGTTATTTTCCTCAGAAGACATTTTACATTTATTTTGCATGTGGGAAAAAGCACAATAACCTCAATATCTAAGGACCAGAAGGACCAACTGATTATCACTAGTTTTTGCTCTTGCTTCCTCCTTTGGGGAGGTCACTTTTTGGTCTCTAGAGATTAAGTGT